CTTGTTAAGATTATTGAGTTTCACTTTAGTAACTTTTTTTCCCCCCTCATTTTCCTACCCAATAAAAAGAATTGATAAATTTAGTATTTATTTTATTTTCCTATCTTTTCTTTCCTTTCCTTTCCTTTCCTTTCACAAGTTCAATGTCCTGTAGGACAATCTTCACTGTATTTAAAAAGATTAAATTCTGTTGTGTACAAAACAACAACAAGAATAAAAGAAATAGAGAAAATGAGAGAATTTGTTTGATTACAAAAATCAAACTCGAAATAAAAATAAATAAATAAAACCACAGATTTTATTTTGTTACAAAAACAATAAAATCTGATTAAATAAACATAATAAAAAACAGAATAAAATTAAACAACTTACTTGGTTAATTTATTTGAATAACTTTTCTGATCAACAGACATCTAATCCCATGAAAAAACAAACACAGGATACATATCCAATCCGACCAAATAGTCCGGGGGATTCACAGTCCTAGGATTCAAGTCCGATGGATTCTAATCCCCCCTTTTCCAGTCCGTCTAATCAAACACACCCTAAGTGTTTACACTCTTTATTTCGGAAATAAAATGCAGCAAGATGAAGAATATAATTTGCAGAGGATGGAGTACGAAAAATTTGAGTCCAATCCAAATGGGAGGCTAGTCTATTTATAGATGTAAAGGTGGCTTTTGGTTTTGAATTGAACAGCTATGAAACCTGTTAGATTTAAATTTAAACAGATTTGAATTTGTTTATTCAAACAGATAGAAACGGGATCCAAAACAGTTTAATTCTGTTTGAAAACGGGAAGGGCCTTGTTTGGATGAACAATAAATGCAAGCCAGTTTAATTTGAATTTTGGATTTTATTTTAATAAAAAATAAAATTAAATTCAAATGTTTTTGGCCCAAAAAGATTAGAAGCCCAACCACACACGCCCAAGCTAGCTTGCTTGACTAGACAGATGGCGGCGGCGTGTGGTGAATTTTGGGTCCAATGGGTCTAGCCCATTTTGGGCCATAACCTCTCCCTCTAAAACACTTGGGTCCCTTGGGGCACACCCCAAGTATCTCACCCTAACCCTTATAAACCCTTTCAAAACTTCCCACCAAATCAATGTGGGACAAGCTAATTTACAACTTTAAGGAATTTCCACCATAACTCCATTTCCATGGAGCACACTTTGGCTTCAATTTCCCATTCACTCGGCAATGGTTTTGAGCAACCAAATATACCACGTGAATCACAACGCGGCATAGAACGCGTTACCACTTTGACCCGAGTAAATCGATACTCGGGGCCCACCTAAAAAATAGACCAAACTTGAGAAAAAATTCTGATTTTACCCAGAATTTTTCCACCATTTCCAACATGTCCAACCATACCATAGAGTCCAAAATCTTGAATTCATGTCTTGAGAGGGTGGATATGGATCAAAAGCCTGATATTTGAATTGCATTGCCAATGAATTTAAGCATAACCTAGGATAAACATAATATTCCAGATAGGAATACATCAATTATTGCAGCCAAACACAAAACGGCTAGTCAACTTGCAGTCTGTTAAACTTGAAAAAGAGCAGTTATTATTTGGACCACCTAGCTTTGTTTCTTGTGTTTGGATTTCCCTCCAAAGTTGATGCCTTTGATTTGGACACTTTATCATATTATAGTTTTGATTTGAAAAAGAAGATACTGATCATGACAATAGTGTCCGCATTCTGTTTTTATAATAATTCTAAATAGTGATGGCAATTTGGGATTTGAACAAATGAACCATTAAATTGTTTGTATCATATTATAAAATTAATGGTATCCAAATCATATCTTAATTTTTCTAAAGCGTGTCTTAGTAAATTATTTTTATTGTTATGCACATGAAAAATGATGCTGCCAAGAAAATCTTTAGACAAATCAATGTCTTTAAACCCTATATCTAAAAAATTATTAAACAAACTTAGTAACATATAACATTATTTTCGTGACACTCCCAACAAATAAAAAATTGCAATAAACATTTTGTTGCATTTAGTTTATGAATTTAGGTAGAGATTTAGAAAAGAAAATAGAAAAGATGTGCAAAATTTATGAATATAACTACATCTTACATACATTCTTTGTTTTCTCTTTTTAAATCATTATCCAAATCCATAAATTAAACACAACGTAAATAAATTATCACTTGGCTCTCGACTACTTAAGAAGATAACAAAATCTCTAGTAGACAAAGTCAAATGACTGGTTAAATAGTTTTGTGACAGGTTAAATAGTTCTGTTAAGTCACTATTCACTAGCACTTAGTTTTTTATTCTTAAATCATTTATTCTTTCATTTTCTTTCTCTCATAAAAATATTAAATGAATATTTTAAAGGAAATTATTTAAAATAAGGAGTCGTTTTTCCCACTTCACTTTGCTCTAAATACACTAATTTCTTTGTCTTTATTATACATAGTTATTATTTTCACTCCACTTTGCTCAAAATACATTTCTTTTAATATATAATAAGGATAAAGAAGAAAGTGTATTGAGAGTAAAGCGAAGTAACAATAGCGACTCCTTTAAAACAAGAAGTATTATTAGAGTGTCTATTAAAAAAATAATCAGCTAAAGTAATAAATTAAGATTTTAACTAAATATTTTAACAAGGGTAAGGCTCGTCTCCAGTCTAGTTTTAGATTGAATCGTACTGTTGGGCCTTCACGAGCCCACCACAAAGCCCACATCAATGATTTAAACCTTTCAATATGTAGGTCTCGTCGAGTATTTCATGCCTGCAAAACATTATGTTGATCGGATGTCGATTGCTACTTGATCAGATTATTTTTTGTTAACAATATTTTTTTTTAAAATCAAATTGAATGTTGATAAAAATGTGATCTGATCAAATGTCTATCAATATCCAATCAATATAACTTTTTTGCAGGGATGAAGTAGTTGATAAGCTCTACACATTGAACGGTTCGAATTATCGAAACAGATTATGTGGTGAGCCCATAAGGCCCAACAGTACGATCTAGTCCGATTACGGACTAGACACAAGCCACACCCTTTTAACAAATGTAAAAGGACAAATTGCATCCGTGGTCCTTGCATTTAATCCCTTGTAATTTCAATTAGCTCAATTTTAATATTTAATTTTATATTTTATGTCAATTTTATTTAATTAATAACATCGATTAGAGTTTTTGAACTAAATAACTGACAATTGTAATCAATTAAACTAAATTAAGACAAAATTATAAATTTAATATCAAAATTGAAATAATTAAAACTATAAAAACTTAAATGCCATAAAGACCAAAATATAAAGACCATTGAGCATAATTTATCCAATGTGAAACAAACATGTTTCACCCACAATATCTTTTATTATATTATTAATTTATAAAATAATGAAAATAATGTCACATGTTTGAGTTATTATCTCTAAGCTCACCCATTTTTCCTTAGATTATAGGCGAATAATATTAGGTATCATAAAAAAATATCATGAAAATGATTATGAAAGATTTTTTACCATTAAATTATACATATAAAAAATATTATACACTAATCAAGAAATAAAAAATTTTCATAAAATATTTGATGATATTTTTTTTATAAAAATAGTATTATTCATTATAAGGCTGTCTTGGCAACATCACTTTCCACCTCAAAAGTCATTCATTGCCAATGAACTACTCCATTCACACGGAGGTTCTTTTTCGGAAACCCTTTTAAAATCTTTTATGTTTTTCCTTCCATGATTGAAACAGATCCTATTTATATTCATTTGGCAAAGAATCTTCTTCTAAAACTTTGACGCTATGTTTGGTAACGTAGGAGAGAAAAGAAAATAAATGATTACTTAAGTAATAAGAGAAAAGAAAAGAAAAGAAATGATTGTAATTTCTTTCCTTTTTATTTGGATAAGTAAGAAATAAAAGAAAAGAAATGATTGTGATTTCTGTCCTTCTTGTTTGGTTAGATTTCATTAAGAGAAAAGAAAAGAAATTATTTTATGCTATATTACCAAAATAACCTTTTTATATTTTCAATCATTTTATTTCTTTTATTTTTACAGGGCTAAAATTGGTATTATGAAAATATAAACATTTGTGGATTTCTTTTCTCTCCCAATCTCTCCACTTTTGGGAAGATTGAAAATAAGGGTTATGAGAGAAATGAGTTTCTCTCTATTTCTTCCCATTTCTTTTCACTTAAGATAACCAAACAAGGAAGAGAAATACATTTCTCTCTATTTCTTTTCTTTTCTCTCCAAATCACTCAATCCAAACACAGTGTGAGAGTCAACAGTTCCACACGCACCCACCCTTGCGAAAAGAAAGCCCATCTCTGCTGACTTCTCTTAATAAGGTCTCTGTTCTTTATTGCTCAATTCCATCACATGAACATCATATATATATATATATATGAATATTTGTATATAAATATGTATGTATGAATGCATTTCTTGTTACCCACTTGCTAGCCGCTTCATTTTTGCAATATTTTCAGCCATTGATTCAGGTAATTCTTGAGATGCTCAAAGTTTGATAAATGGGTTATCCACCCTTCCCAATGATGGATCTAGGGGGCTGGGGCCTCACCTCTACAAATTTGAAAAATATTATATTAGAAATTTTAAAATAATTTGAAATTATAAGAGTTTGCCCGCCAAATTTTTTTTTAAATCATTTCAAAATTATACAAAGTAGCTCTCAATATTTTAAACTATAGAGTAGCTTCCAAAGTCATAATTCTAGAACCGTCCCTGACCTTTCCTGTCATTCTTTAAGATTTTTGTCAATTTGTGATTCTTGGTATCATTCTACTTGGTAACTGCTAGAAATTGTCTTATTTTTATTTTATTTATTTTTTTATAAAGTCTATGTTCTTTATTGATCATTTCATGACATAAGCATTATGTATGTATGTATGTATGAGTCTATTTCTTGTTACCCTCTTGCTATCTGTATCATTTTTGTAATCTTTTTCAAACCATAGATTCAGGTATTTGTTTTTATTCCTTGAGATGCTCAAATTTTCATAAATGGGCTATCTATCTTTTTCTGAAAATTTTAAAAATTTATATCAGTTTGTTGCATTGCTTTTCAAGCAACATTTTTACTTGGTAGAAATTGCTCCTTTTTTGGCATAAATTAGCTTTTCGTGAGTTGGGAATATCGTCTAACATTCATTTGTGTATTAGCTTCAATTTTTAATGTAACGACTGCCAGATGTTTGGGTTTATGTTTCTTTCTTCTTATCAATAGTTTTTCAAGTAAATAACATTTCAAAGCATATGTTACCATAAAGTCAATTGCCTCTCAGTATTAAGATTATTTTTGTTGTTTTAGAAAAGAAGCCATGACTATTGCTGAAACAAGTGGATCTCCAACTAGGCTTCAGGTTTGTGGATCAAACTTTGTTAATTTCATTGATTTCTGTGGCGAAGAGTTACATTTTATTATAAGAACATTAATTTTTGTTCTTATTTATGATATTTCAGGGGAAGTATGGTGCAATGGTAGTATGTTGGATTCTGGGACTTGGGTCCCTTGTCTCTTGGAACAGCATGTTGACAATAGGAGATTACTACTATAACCTGTTCCCGGTAAGTAGCCCCTTGTTAATTTCCAATTTTCTATCCTTTTTTGGTGGCTAAACTGTCATTTTTATGACTGCTAATTGCAAAGTCACTTTAAGTAATCTGATCTTTTCGTTTCTTCAAATTCTCTCTTGTGATCCTATGTTAACTTACTAACCAAGCGGATTAGGAGCAAGGTTTTTAAAGATTTTCTAAATTGACTATGTTGAAGATTAAATTTCTCATCTCCCTTTTTAGAAGAAAATGCTACTAGTAATAATTGTGGGTTCATGAAGTTTGGATTCCTCCAGCTGTATATTCCCATACAAAATGCTAGAGACCCTAAATATTTTACCAAATGTTCTACCAAATATCTCACATAGGTGTGGGACCCATATGATGTGGGTCCCATGTGGGTCTCACAGATATTTGGTAGAATATTTGGTAAAATATTTGGGATCCCTAGCATTACTCTATTCGCATATATAGGTATTGGGAAACACTCATGACTGCCAAAGTGGTCGTCATTAGTCTTGATTTATGTGTCAAAATTATTTGTGAATATGTAAAAAGTTTATTAAAATTCTAAAATTTTGGTATTTTCTTTATCTCAATGACAGTGTAATTAGCATGATATCATCAATAGCTTAATCATGTGAACTCAATTCATAAATTCCTTATGTTGTTCCACATTTCTTCATCCTATCAAAATTTGAATGTTTACAAATTACTTCTTACAAAAGAACCATTTTGTCTGGATTCCAATAGCCACTCACTTTGATGTCGTTTTTTCGCTTTTGAAGAAATATCACCCTTCAAGGGTACTAACCCTTGTCTATCAACCATTTGCACTTGGAACAATGGCAATACTTGCTTATAATGAGTCAAAGATCGACACAAGGCAGCGCAACTTGACTGGATACATCCTTTTCTTCATTAGTACTTTTGCTCTATTAGTTGTAAGTATTGCAACGACTCCATTTTGTGTGTTTCACAGTTCAGTTTCCTTAATTATTAAATCATCCACCACAAAAACCAATGTGGATGTACTTTGGCGTCACTTTGACAGTTGGATTTAGCAACATCAGGGAAGGGAGGAATCGGAAATTTTATTGGTATATGCATCATTGTTGCTGCTTTTGGAGTTGCAGATGCCCATGTTCAAGGTGGAATGGTTGGAGACCTATCCTTCATGTGCCCTGAGTTCATCCAAGTAAGCCCTTTTAGTTAAAAGAGTACTATTTCTTTGACTAGTTTTGCTTTCATTTCTACCTATTTGAATGAATATGATTGGTTCATGAATATTCTTGTAATGAATTTTTGCAGTCTTTCCTAGCTGGTTTGGCAGCCTCAGGGGCTCTCACCTCTGCTTTGAGGCTCATCACAAAAGCAGCCTTTGAAAAATTGAATAATGGCCTTCGCAAGGGAACCAGTATGTAATACTCTTACTGATAAACATACTTTTTGGGATTTTTTTTTTTTTTTGGGAATACTTTTTGGAATTGAAAACAATGTTAAATGTTGTTTTATCTGAAGTTACTGTTTTTACTAACTTGCTAATTAAAAAACAAACACAGTGGGATAGTCTATCATTTATTTTACTACAATTGAAAATTCTATAATGGTAAATAGTTCAAATTAAGGAGAAAAATGTGAGTAGTTAAGCTTACTTATTATTTTTGTTTTTAGTGAAATCTTTTCAAATTTGAGTCAAATTTTTTAGTTTTTATGTCCATCTAGACAATGCAAAAAGTCCACTAAAAATGAAAGTAAGTCAAAATTTGTCCAAAAAACCTTAAAAAGTTGGCTTATTTTTATTGGAAAATCCAATTTTCTTTTGTAATTTTTAGGATCCACTAGTCTAAAAGAACCTACAAAGCAAAAAACCTTGAATCAGTTCAAATGACTTCTGTAGAGACAAGTGTAAGTCAAAATGTAAGCTGCCGCCAAAACAAATGAACAGAATCTCATTGTTGTGCATTCCTTTTCCAAAAAATGAACTTTCATCTAACTAAGATCTATGAAGCAACATTCAGATAATATTTAGTATTGTCATTAATTAATTGTTGTATTGATGTCTTTTTGCAGTGTTGTTTCTAGCAATCTCGACATTCTTTGAGTTTCTATGTATTCTTTTATATGCATTCATCTTCCCAAAACTACCAATTGTGAAGTACTACCGCTCGAAGGCGGCCTCAGAAGGATCAAAAACTGTTTCAGCAGATCTTGCTGCTGGTGGCATCTACATGGAAGCGACCCAAGGAGTATGCCAACTTCCTTTGCATTCATATAGCATATATTACTTAAATGAAGTTTCAGATGACTTTAAAAGATTTAATTTTACCAAAATCGAGCGATTTTAAAACAAATTTCTCAATCCCCAGAAATTGTTTTGAACTTGTTACTCAAACCTTGTGAAGTCCTGTTTCGAAAACTAAACTTGGAAACACAACTTAAATTAAATATTGGTAAACTACATAATTGATCCCTCTAATTTGAGAAAAATTACACAATTAATTCGCTTAGCAATTCCCACCCAATAAAGAAAAATAAATAAATTATACCGGTGGAACCCCTAAAGTTTATTTTAAATTCTACTTTGGTTCCTCTGTTTTTGCAGGTGTTGTTTTTCTGTCCAAAATGCTAACGGCAATGGATGGAAAGACCCTATTGAAACACAATTGAAATACTGACTTGAAAACAAGTGGGTTTCATCAAAAATAAATTCTGAACAATCTATATCCGATAAATAAGTTTTGAAAGAACTCAACTTTAGTTATAAAAAGACAAAAACAAAAACTAAAACAAAAACTAACTCATTCAAAATAGCTTTTGGTATCTTTGCAGGCTGAAGATGATGACGAACAACAGAGGTTAAGCAACAAGCAATTGTTCAATCAGAACATAGATTATGCATTGGACTTGTATTTGATATATGTCCTGACATTATCAATTTTTCCTGGGTTCTTATATGAAAACACTGGATCACACCACAAGTTAGGCTCATGGTGAGTGCTAATTCATGACATATCAACCAGTTTTTGCAATTATTTAAGGTACAATTCTTTCATGATTTTTAATGATATCACATTCTATTATACAAGCATTCAACATGGGTATGTTTAGCTTCATAACATTCTAAAAGTGTCTGTTCATCTCATGTTTGATATGTCCTTTTCAGAATTCAAAGAAAAATGTTTTTTTTTTTTTGGTTAAATACTATTTATGCAATAATCTTTTGTGAGATTTCCTCACTAATTCATTTTCCACATTTGACTTTGTTAAGTTTTTATTCTTGGCAATCCCGTTTGACAAAACTCTTTTCAGTTGTATTTGTTTTCGCACTTTTATTTCAGTAAGGCTATAAGTTTTTAGATGCGAATCTAACCCGAATTGTGCCTTGCAGAGAAGTTTGTGATATTAATACTTTCAAGATTGCCACTTCGTTGATTATGACGAGGATCGAGCTGTCCGGTCAGCTCGCGGGGGTCTAGTGGGCAGCGTCCCTTGGCGGGTCCGGGCAGCGCCCCCGAAGCAAAATGCAAAAATGCATTCAAAGTTGCCTGTCCGCTCGAGCAGACATTTCCCTGCTCGAGCGGAGAATGCTGAGTTCCAGAAGTTCATTCGCCTGCAAAAATACTGGATGTTGTTTTTTTCCGCTCGGGCGGAAATTTCAGCGCTCGAGCGTAGGTCCGCTCGAGCGGCCAATTTGACGCTCAAGTGGAGATCGCGGGACAGTTTTCTATAAAACGTGTTTCAGTCCAAATCTAGGATTACGCCTCCAGATCTTCTTCTTAGGTTCTAGGGTTTATATTTGTGGCTATTTTGCTAGTTTTCTTTGATGCTTAATTGAGTATTCAACTCATGGGTTAAGAAAAATACATCAAAGGTTTGTTTGTTCATTCTATACAAAAGAGAGAGTTGTTCTTCGGTAGATTCTGAAGAATTCGAGCCTGAAGCTTTGGTGGATTCTGGAGTGGCTCATCGTCAAGACAATTCCGAGGTGAAAACGGGGTTGGAAGAGGCACATAGGGGTTGGTTCAATTCGGGCGTGAATTCGCTAGGTAATTGAGAGTATACCTGTGTAATTCTTTTATATCTTCTTAGTAGATTGTTTTGTAGCTGTTGCCCGTAGTTTTTTTTTATCACAATTGGAGGTGCTCCAATTGTGATTTTTCCACGTTAAAATCGTTGTGTGGATTTCTCTTGATTGGGATTGTTATATACTGTTTAAAATTGATACATAATCACAAATCAATATCTAGGGGATTTCTAGATTTTTAAATTGGTATCAGAGCAAAAACAGAGTGCTTCCATATCTTATGATACAAGAACTTAAGGAAAGGGAGAACAAAAAATTCAACATAAGGATGGACTTCTCAAACTTTCTAGATTTGGTAAAGTAAAAGAAAAGAAGGTACACCCTGTACACCCTGTTTTTATTTGTCATCATTGTGGTATGCATGGTCATATTCGGCCTTATTGTTATAAGTTGCATGGGAGAGTGTATTTGCCTAGACCTAAAAATAGGAAGTTGGAAACCAAGTCAAGACGAGTTCCCATTGCAGGGGAAATGAACTACAACGTCAAGACACCACCCAAGAACCGCAATTCTTGCAACTTTGTTTATACTAAAGCGGTTTGGGTAAGAAAACTTGACTTGTGTTAATTTGTTTATTCTTTTTAGTTTTTGGATTTCTGTGTGTTTTTTTCTTTTTGAGTCATTTAATGTGTGCATGTGTTGTTTTCTGTCTTGCTTTATTGTTGAAAGAAAAAAAAAATCCAAAAAGATTTTCTTAGTATGGTTTTGCAAACGTGGTGCATATTGGAATTGATGAGAATCACCATTACATGTTAATATGTGTGTGCTTTCTGTGGTCATTACTCATTTTGGAGTGTGTGTTCTTTGATCAGTATGTCTCATTCTGTACACACTCTTGGATTAGCTAATATTGGAGTCTTCTGCCTTAGTGATCTTTTTTCTCTTTGGACTTCTGGTATTGTATCTTTTGCTTTTCTAGAGGAATTGACCTATACTAGCGCATCATGGGTGATGTTGAGTCTCTTAACCACCTTTCATTTTTTTGCAACTCCACGGCTTTCCCCTCTGTTCTTTGTAGTCCAGGCATGAGGAAAAGGCTACCTCAGAGTCACCAACCAGGCCATCCTTATCATATCCATGCTTCTCTGGTTCAGTTTCCATACTCTTAAGCGTGTTAGCCGCCAATGAGTGTGAAAAAGAAAAAAAAATGTGAAAAAGAAAGAAAAAATGTGCAAAAGAAAGAAAAGAAAAAAATGTGTGAAAAAGAAAAAAAAGGGATTCATTGCTTGAGGGGGAACCTCCGCTTTACTCACCAAATATCCTTTGATTCCTAGTAGTTTGATTTTCCTTAATTGTGCTTAGATTCTCTTGTCAGATATCCAGCTTTCATATCGCTACTAGGATTTTAATCTAGTTTTGTCGAACTCCAAGAGTCACACACACACTTTTTCTCATGGGATCTATGCTTTTTACATAATGCATCACTTTCTTTTATGAGGAATCTTCTAGAGGCTGTGCATATTGTGTTTTCAAGTAATTGTGCTTCTTGGATAGTCTTGTGTGTTTTAAGGTACTAATATGAAATTCCTTGCTTGCTCTACCATATTATTTTTGTCGTTTTCTTCCTGTTCACTGTTTTCATTGTTTGTGGTTGTTTTTTGTGAGGGGGAGTTTGGTTTATCATTGGAAGAACTTGTTAACATGAACTCTTTGAATTGTGTTGGTAAGGGAGATTGGTCTTAGTTGTGTTGCATGTTGCTCTGCACTGCTTCTTTCTTGTTCCCTTCTTGCATGCTAGTTGTTTAAAGCTTCATTTGTTAATTCGTGACAAAAAAAGGGAGTTATGTTGTCGGGTGCATGTGTCTTAGGTTTTCATGTTTTTCATCTCATGCTTCAAGATAATCTAGTCATATGTTTATTGCTTTTTCCTATACTTTTGTGGCACTAATAGTTGTTTTGGAGATTGTGGCACTAATAGCTGTTTTGCAGATCATGACATTGAGAGAGAAGTTTGCGTTTGTTGGCTGTAATGGGTTGGGGTGATTAGTATTTTATGTGTTAGGTGTGTTTTGTTACGGCATTGCCAAAAGGGGAGATTGCTAGGATTTATTCTTGGCAATCCCGTTTGACAAAACTTCTTTCAGTTGTATCTGTTTTCGCACTTTTATTTCAGTAAGGTTATGAGTTTTTAGATGCGAATCCAACCCGAATTGTACCTTGTAGAGAAGTTTGTGATGTTAATACTTTCAAGATTGCCACTTCGCTAATTATGACGGGGATCGAGCTGCCCGGTTAGCTCACGGGAGTCGAGGGGACAGCGCTCCTTGGCGGGTCCGGGGCAGCGCCACGGTGGGGTCGAGGGGCAGCTCCCCCGAAGCAAAATGCAAAAATGCATTCAAAGTTGCTTGTCCGCTCGAGCGGACATTCCCCCGCTCGAGCAGAGAATCCTTGGTTCCAGTAGTTTGACCTGTCTACAAATATACTGTGAGTCATGTTTTTACGCTCGAGCGTCCATTTTCCCACTCGAGCATACATCCTGGTTTGGAACAAGCGATATAGAGTTCCCGCTCTAGCGTCCATTCCCACACTCGAGCGAACCTTGCGATCTCTGCTTCTATAAAACCTTAAGTTGCTTCAAATCTAGGGTTACGCTTCCAGATCTTCTTCTTGGATATTAAGGTTTATATCTGTGGCTATTTTACTAGTTTTCTTTGATGTTTTGATTGAGTATTCAACTCATGGTTTAAGAGGTATACATCAAAGGATTATTCGATTATTCAATACAAAAGAGAGAGTTGTTCTTTGGTGGATTTTAGGGAATTCGAGGGTGAAGCTTTGGTGGATTCTAGAGTGGCTTATCGTTATGATTCGACATCAACGTTGTGGATTCAACGTTGGGCAAAGACAATTCCGAGATGAAGACCGTGGTGGAAGAGGCATATAGGGGTCGGTTTAATTCGGGTGTGGATTCGCTAGGTAATTGAGAGTACACTTGTGTAATTCCTTTTGTCTTCTTAGTGGATTGTTTTGTGGCTTTAGCCAGTGATTTTTTTTTATCACAACTGAAGGTTCTTCAATTTTAATTTTTTCATGATAAATCCTTGTGACGATTTGTCTTGGTTGTTTGATTGAGATTGTTATTATTATTTTAAATTGAAACATAATCACAAATTAATATCTCGGAGATTTTAATTTTTTCTTGTCATTTTGTATTTTATTTGTCCATTAAATATTTTGATACTATTGGAGGACTAACTTGGGCATCGAAGGACCCCCCGGCCCTTCAATGGCTAAGGGAGCTTTATCTTGTAGATGGCGGTCACGTGGAGGTTCTGATCATCTTCTTCGGTGGATCTCTTCATCAACAAGTATGGAATTTTTTTTTATTATATATATATCTGTACAAAAGTGATGTTTACAGTTTTGGAGTAGTCCTTGTGGAGTTGATCATCGGAAAGAAGGTGTTATCATTTGATAGGCCAGAAGAGGAGAGGAGTCTGGCCATGTATTTTCTTTCATCTATGAAAAATCATCAATTGTTCCAAGTTATTGATGAACAAATAGAAACAAAGGAAATATTGAAGAGCTTAAATAAGTTGCTAATATTTTAAAGAAGTGCTTAATAGTGAAAGGAGAGCAGAGGCCTACTATGAAGGAAGTTTAGGCCTCGTTTGGCAAGAGGCTATTTTAGCCAATTAGCCAAAAAGTTACTAAATTAGCCAAAAAGCCAACAACTCATACCAAAAAGTCAAAGATTCTCTTTTCTCTCTACTTTTTGCACATCTTTTCGTAATTAGCCAAAAAGTCATCCCAAACATACAAGTTTTTTTTACCTACCTTTTTAGCCAAATAGCCAAAAAGTTACTAAATTAGCCTGTTCCCAAACGAGGCCTTAGTGATCAACATAGCTTCAGTAATAACCCTTTAACATAGATACTTGCACTAATCTAAATAATCATAAATCAATTAACAATGCACCGTAAACTTTTCAGGTATGCACTTGTGCTGATAGCAATGTACAACTTGTTTGATCTGATATCAAGATACATTCCCCTCGTGGAATGCCTCAAGATAAAATCTCGAAAGGGCCTTATGATTGCTATACTGTCTCGTTTCTTGCTCATCCCTGCATTCTACTTCACTGCAAAGTATGGTGGTCAAGGATGGATGATAATGCTCACATCTTTCTTGGGACTAACAAATGGTCATCTCACTGTTTGTGTCCTCACAGAAGCTCCAAAAGGTTACAAGGTAACTTTATAACATCAGCCTTCAATGTTTGAGGATTACTTTACAAGTTAAATTATAAGCCATACATGAGGCACATGTTGTCAGGGTGGTGCTGGTGGGCCCACATAATACAAATCAATAACTCTCGAACATGGTTCCCTTGGAAGTTGTCTCTTTAAGAGCGGAAAAATAAAATAAAATGAAATAACGCTAAAAAACATTCATATTATTTGTATGATTTTTTGATTTTTGTAATGGCTTCTTAGCTTAGACATGTTTGATAACCTTCTAGCTTTTTTGTTTTAATATAAAATCACTAATTTGCCCTTCATAGTACTACATTATGTTTCTGTGTTTCTTGACTTCTGATAGAAAGTTTTTTTTTTTTATGATTTATTTTTATTAGGAAAAATAGGTATGTTGAAGGACAATAATATCACTTTTATAACTTATTAGACTAAAAAAGCTAATAAGTTGCTTGTTAACTCGTGCCAAAATAAGTCTGAGTCATGTTCAGCTGGAGATCATTTTTCATATTGAATTCAAATATTTTGCCTAAAAATTTATCATTGAGATCTTGATCTTTGCAGGGACCTGAACAAAATGCGTTGGGTAATTTGCTAGTGTTATTTCTTCTAGCTGGCATATTTTCAGGAGTTGCTCTTGATTGGTTGTGGCTTATTGGTAGTAAACAACAATTTTAAAAGATCAAGGCGGCGAACTGCCTCTTGATCTTGATGAAGAAAGACAGTTCATCATACTTGATCATTACTGAGATTGTTTAAATTGGATATGAAAGAGGACCATGAATCGTCGAAGAGTGATCATCATCATTTTATTGTCAAGCAAATCCATTCCTTCACAGTGAATATTATATTGGTGCTTTAGAATTTCACAGTTTGATGTTTGTTTTTCACTTCTTTGTAATGTATTGAAAGGATAGTTTTTATAGGGTCATGGTGAAAAATAAAGATCAAGAATTTGAAGTGGTGGTTTATATGTGTGTATGTATCAATCTATTTATATGAGTAAGCAGCACAATAGAAGAATCATTATCGGATTAAACTCAAGGTCTCCACCTTTTTTATGTTTGATTTGAGTAGAGATTTGTGGAAAGAAAAGAGAAGAGAAGAAAAGAAAAAAGAAAAGGAAAAAAAAAAGAAAAGAAAAAAGAAAGGAAAAGTGATAAAAAAAAAAAAAAACAATTTACATCTATCTTTGTCAATTTTTTCTTCTTTTTTTCCTCTTCCTTTATGAATCTCTACTTAAATTCAAAATTCAAACACAAGCTTGGGATGACATGGGTATTAGGTGGTGATTACTTTTGCTCTATTGAGTTGTTTAGTTTTAGGTAAATTACAGTCTCTATAATTTAAGCAAAGTTTCATTTTAGTTTCCATAATTATAATTTGAACAATTTGACCTTTACACATTCAATTTTGTTGCAATGTGGTCCTTCATCTATCACTTATCGTTAGGATTTGAATTGAAAAAAGTGTTGGAAAATGGCTTTTGTAAAATCTTATTTCTTGTTAACTTTGAGCATTAATTAAGGTAGGACCTAAGCGTTATTTTTAACGTTACTAATTGGGTTCATGTTTAATGCCGTGTAGTGAATGACATTGCGTATTTGGTTGCTCAAAACCATTTCCTGATGAATGAGAATTCAACGCACATTCAACGAGCGTTTTAGCTTTGGGTGGGTTTTCTACACATTTATGAAATTTGTTTGTTCCACATTGGAAAGGCTTAAGAATTTATATGGGTCTATAAACTCTAGCTTGGGATACTTGGGATTTAGGAGTGAGCATGGTCCGGATTGGACCGGATTAGGATAAAATCAGGACCAATCCGTTATCTACGGTTCCTAAAAAATTGGAACCAATCCAATCCGTTTAAATCATGGAACCAATCCGAACCAATCCATTTAAATACGGATTGGATCGGTTTAGGACCACGGATTCACATAATTAAATAACAAAAATATATTTATAACACTTTAATTTTATAAAAATATAAACATAGCGCATATTAGTTCCACAATAGCAACATATTTTTCTATAATAGCGACATACTGTTCTAAAATTTAAACAATCATAAGAAAATTGATTTCACTATAAGTATTTAAACCATTACAACTTAAAACTAAAAACCAACAAACAAGAGTAATAAAAGAAAATATTATACGATTTTAGGTTTGAGTTTAGATTTTATATAGAATTAAGAGAAGATACTATGGGGGGGATGTATAATAAAAATATAGACTATTTGTATACGGTTCGGATCGGTTCCAATCTGGAACTGTGGGGTTCAATCCGGAACCAATCCGTAAACTACGGATTTTTAATTCTTCAATCCGGAACCGAACCGCGGATTCAAAAAACCAATCCAAACCTATCGGATTGGACTGGACTGGATCGGATTACGGATTTTACGGATCACTTGCTCAGCCTTGGGATAGGCCCCCAAGGGGTACCCAAGTTTGTGGAATGGTGAGATTATGGGTAAGGTGGGCTAGATCCATTAGACTCAAAACAAAAACCACGCGCCGCCGAGCGGACTGGATGGGCTTGGGCGCGCGTGCGTGGTGTGAAGTTGAGTTGGGCTTGTCTGATCCAATATTTATCTTTTTGGGCTAAAAACATTTGTATTTTATTTATTTATTTTTTAATTTTGGTTTCAAAATTCAAATTAAATTGGTCCAAATTTTTCCTTCACCCAAACAGAACTGGAACAGGTTCATACTTGGTAAAGTCCACTCGAACAGGTTAAATTCCATTTGAACAGGTTTTTTCCTGTTGGTACCTGTTTTGAAAGGCCACCAGGTTTCCTACAAATAGCCTACCTTCCAACAATGTTCAATGAACAAATTTTCTTCCTTCTTTTTCTTCTTATCATCCTCCTGTTTTTGCATCTGTTCTGCATTTTAGGAAGAAAAAGAAAGAGTCACAATAGAGTTTTAGTTCGCCAGACTTGATTTTGTAGTGCTGCAAATCAAGTGTCAGTCATTGCATCCTGAGAACTAGACGTCAGTAAATCTCGAAACACAGGAGAGAGGGCGAAATCTATTTTAAGGAAATTGTGTCCAACACAAATCTCGACTTATGATTTCTGTAAGCCATTGATTCGGAATTTAATTTATATAATTATTTTCTAAATTAATTATTTTTTTTTATTTTGTTATTTATTTTATTTATACATTTGTTTACACATACACACATCTATTGTGGGAATAACAAAAAGATTAGTTGCAAAGCTAGAAGGACCAAATTGAAATTCAATTTTGAACCAAAAAAAGATCACTTGCAAAATCAAAGAGATCAAATTGGAATTCAAAAAAAAATTATAGACTCAAACTAACGATAAGTGTTGAAGGGACAACATTTTAACAAAATTGAAAGTGAAAGGATCAAATCATTCAAATTAAAATTGGAAGAACCAAAATAAGTTTTGCTTAAACTAAAGGGATTACTCATATAATTTATTCTTTATTTATTTATTTCTCATTATAGGCTTTTTCATGTATTGATGTTAGAATTCTAGTTACTTATGTGTGGTTTGATTATAATTATTCATTTTTGTATAATTCACCGACCCATTGAGATAGATATATAGATAGATTTAAACAAAAAAAAGAAAAACCATTCACAGTTATGAATGCACTAATTTTCTCTGTTGTTTGAGTACGAATGTACTTTTCACTTGTTCACAAAAAATAATAAATAAATAATAGTGTTGATACCGTTCGTCCCAGTGGGTGGATCAGACTGGTCCAAGCTTCCCAAGGCCAAGCCCAGAAGATCGAGCCCACCGGATATCCTGCAAACAAGTTCAACGGGGAACGGGGTAGTCCCCCAGTGAATCCTCCGACGATCAAGTTAGGAAGAGAAGTGGAGTATCCGGGAGAAGATTAGAGATGGAAAGCTTAACCTTTTTCCTTGTCTACAACGTTCGCTTATATCCTTTGGCAATCATTTCGTTGTCCCTTCCGACCTGCTCTCCTTGCCGAAAGCCTATGCTATAGCTCGCCTTGCCCAGGGTAAGGGGGTCCTGTTCCGGCGGAGAGGTGTTGTCGTAATAAATGCTGTGATGGGCTGCATTAATGGTGATGTGTAGTGTCAATAGCTTTGCTGATCTTTGTCTGCTGATGTGGTTCATCCTTCTCTTGCCGTGTGTCTGAATGTCATTGGCTCTTTGTGTCATGTTGGACTCCAGCTGTCCTGGACCTCGTCAGCTGGGTTATGCACTGTGCTTCAAGTGATGGGCCGTGGGTGGTTCATGGCCTTTATGGGCTTATACACATCAGTAGTCCCCCAGTCCCGAGTGCAGCTTTAGTCCAATGAAGGGATTACGAGTGACATAGATGAGTGTGTTAGGGATTGGCAGGATGGAGGTCGACCGGGAAAAAAGGGGGGGCTGACCGCGATGAGGGCCGACCGCGATGTGGACCGACTGGGAGGCCGATCGTGAGGAGGGCCGATCGTGAGGAGGGCCGACCGGAGGGCTGACCGAGGGGAGGGTCGATCGCGGTGTTGGCCGAGCGGGAAGGCTGATCGCGGGGAAGGCTGACCGCGATATGGACCGACTGTGAGGCCGACCACGAGGAGGGCCAACCAGAGGGCTGACCGAGGGGAGGGCCGACCGCGGTGTTGGCCGAGCGGGAAGGCTGACCGCGGGGAAGGCCGACCGCAATGTGGACCGACTAGAAGGTCGACTGCGAGGAGGGCCGACCGTGGTGTTGGCCGAGCGGGAAGGCTGACCGCGGGGAGGGTGAGGTGGAGGGACGTGGGGCTCGAGACGCGGCGGGCCACGTGGTGAGTTGAAGTGGAAAAGACAAGGTAAGGGGAGGGGGCAGGGGATCGTGGACGTACACGTGGCCACATCCCGTAGGGGGGAAGATTAGGCGTTGGATCAGAAATGAAACGGTAAGTCATTATGGTTTGTTGAAGAGACAGTTTTGGCGGATGATTTTGAAAGGTTTTCAAACTGGCGGAAATTAATTGGGATCCTTGGAATACGGGCAAACCGTGGGCTTTTGGCATTATTCAATTTACCTACCTGGTTACGAAAAATCAAAATATTCCAAGTGTGAATTCCTTTGTTGCTCACAATACACCTCTGCAACACTTTTGCGATTTCCTTGCTCCTGCCGCCGAAGCGATTCGCAAATATACCACAGAAATGGCCGAAGAAGGAAGGGCAATTGTTAGGGTGGACCTGCTTGGGGATGACGATGCTGTGGAGCTAGCGGCGCAGTATAGGACAGAGAGGGTGGGGGAGTCGGTGGTACAACCCCGCGGTTCCACCATGATAGCGGCGCCAAAGCCAATCAGCCAGGCAGAACCAGATCATTGGCATACGAAGGCTGACAAATCCACGATTACTGGGACGGAGTTGGAGGCTATCCGTGAAAAATACCAAATCCCTGGGAAAGTGGAGCTATTGCTGCCGACATCAACGGAAAGGCCGTCCGACGCCAGGCCAGGGGAGTTTTCTCTGTATGAGGAAGCTCTGAAGGGTGGGTTGAGGTTGCCGTTGCCGCTGCCGCAAGTGGTGGTGGACGTGCTCAACCGTCTGGAGGTAGCACCGGGACAGCTAATGCCCAACGCATGGAAGATCCTGCTGGCCTGCGCAAGTGCCTGGCCGAAAGCGAATGGAGGGGAGGCCATGACAGTGGATGAATTCTTTGCATGTTATAAGGCCTCGGGGCAGCAGGAGACGTGGGTCACTCTGCAGGCATCAGCAGGGAGAGGGTTGGTGGCGTGGTTACCGTTGTCGATCAAGGGGTGGCGACCACGATGGTTCTACGTGTCTGCCAATGGGGGGCTGGGAGTGCGCACCGTTTGGAAAGTACTCATCCGGTCGGTGGAGCCGAAACTAGGGACAGCTGCGGAGGGGAGGGTGAAGAGGGTGAAGGAGTGGAGGGAGAAAGAAAACGCCAAATGAGACGAGCTCGTGCAGCCGTCGGCATTGTTTGAGGCGGGGTTGGGGCCGAAA